TTATGCAGCTGCAAAAAATGGGATCTGCTGCTATAGACACAAATCTTGAAATGAAGTTTATTATTTAATTAAAAAATAAAAAAAAAAAGGAAAGCACGGCTCCCCATGAGTCTGCTGCAAAAAAATTTATCTTCTGTTGAATGAGAAGTTGAAACCCCTTAGTTAAAATAAGTCATTATGCCTAAAGTTTTGTCTATTATATATAGGGAAAAATGTGTGTCATTTTAAAGGATGTAAAGTTGTGTCATTTTAAGAGAGAGAAAGAGATAGATAAAGAAAAAAAAAGAGTTGACAAAAAAAATAAAGGTGTGAAACTCACCTCTTTGTGAGAGTGAAAGGATATAAATTGTGTCATTTAAAAAGATAAACAATTTTTCCTTATATATATGTGTCCAAAATCCTAGCGGCGGGCTTGGTTTGAATTTCTCCACCCTCTTCAATAATTATGATTCTTAGGAATCGAAGTATCCTTTGAGCAAATTAAACCCTAAATTCTAGTTGAGTTGCGGATGTACCAACAACTCTTGGGTGGTTTATTTTTGTTTTTAGATACATGAAGTCGTGTCTTTTATTTCCTGGGCTTATGCCCCGATTTCAAAGAAAAAATAATGATTTAAGAAACTGATAGTTATAAACATCATATTATTATGCCGACCAAAGTAGCTTTCATTAACTCGTCAACCCGACACTAAATAATAGTATCTCAAGCGAGTTTTCTTTATGTCCTCCCTTCCCCACTCATTAACAATTAATCTGGTACGAAACAAGAACCATGCATATGCATATGCTTTTTTTTTTAGTACATGCATGAAGCATATGCTTTTAATTTTAACAAGGATATATTCAACACCCTAAAATATATAATCATACTCCCATTGCACATACTCATTACTCAGTATTTTAATATTTTTATTTGAAATAAAAAAAAACTAGGCCAGCCGGCTATATATGTGTATAATTTATTTTTCTCAAATCTTTGAATCCTCTCCTATAAGTATACCATTTGTCTTCACCATCTCTTTGCCCATCAGAAGATCATAAGCAAACGGGGAAGATGTCAACTCATTGCAATGGTATTAGACATATACTTTCATTTATATCATTACTATGCCTTTGTACTAATTAATGTCACTCATTAAGAATAAAAGGAAATACCACAAAACACCTGGACCAACTGACACGGGTTGTTTGAGCTTAATCAGTATATGGAGTTCGAGTTGGGGTTATATATATAGTTGTGTTAATATATATATATATATATATATATATATATATATATATATATATATATATATATATATATATACGGGACAGGATATTCTTACATAAGAGTTAAAAGTCTTACACTCAATTTTGACCATTGATCCACTTGTATCAAATGGCTCACGTTACTCAAAAATTTGAGCCGTTAGATATAAATGGAATCAATGGATAAGATTGAGAGTGTAACTTAGACTAGTGTAAAATTATCCTAACCCTATATATATATATATATAGCCATTTACAAACTTTTTTGAATTTTTTTACAAATTACACTATGTTCTCCCGGGAGAACATAGTGAAACCAGTGTTTTCCCGAGAGAACATAGTGTAGTTTGTAAGAGTTTCTAAACAAAAAAATTTGTAAATATAACATTCTCCATATATATATATATATATATATATATATATATATATATATATATATATATATATATATGGGGCAGGTTCATCTTACACCGGTGTAAGACTAATAAGTCTTACATCAAATCTTAACCATTGATTTTCTGCATCTTACATCAAGTCTTACACTTAATATATATATATATATAGTAAGTGTAATAAATGGCAAATTCAATGGATGTAGGTAAAAGTTCGTGGCCGGAATTGCTTGGGAGCAATGGAGACGCAGCAACACAAATCATCATGAGGGAAAACCCGAGACTGAAAGCCAGTACTGTGCCACAAGATGCAATAATAACTACTGATTTCAGCTGCCACAGGGTTCGTGTCTTTGTTAGCAATCAGGACATTGTGACTCGAGTGCCCAAAATTGGTTAATCCAATAAGGAGCATCATCAACTTTAGCCTAGTTTATATATTTATATATAGGAAATATGTTTATCATGTTACACGAAACAATTAATGTCTCATGCAATATACAAAGAAGTGGATGGAACTCAAAAAAAAAAAAATATTATGTCTCACCCATTTTTTTTATGTGCATTATGAGAGACATATTTCTCTTTATATATATATATATATATATATATATATATATATATATATATTTTATGAGTTAAGAAGTTTGTGTTTACAAAGTCACTATAATATGATATAGCAGCTATATTCTAAATAAGAGAATAAGAGGTGTAACGAGTATTTCCATTTAGTGCCTATATGTTTAAGCATGTCATTAATATATGTATTTTTTGATTAATGATGGTTTTACAATGCTTATAATTCCTAGCCTAGTTCTTTGCTGTCTCGTTCTACTTTAGAAATGACGAGAAATACAAAGTTTACATACAACACTTTTTAAAAATCATTGGATTCTACCAAAGGAGCAAAAAGAGAATGTGAACAACAATCACTTGATTAAACATTTCATATATATGCGTCATCCATTACATTTGGGAAATCATTATTAGTTCAACGAACAAATTAATATCAAAACCCTGAACTCCAGACTTATTCCATAATTGGCATGAAATAATGCCACAATTGAAGGATACGTTATCTTACTAACAAATTGAAGAACATTATTTCTTTATCATTCACGTGTCTAAACTTAAAGTTGAATTTTGCTTTCCTTTATGTGATGCGGTGCGCGTGCAGAGTAAGTATTTTTTTTTTTTTTTGTATACTCGTGTAGAGTAAGTATTTCAAGTATGCAAATAAACTTTTCCTAATACGAGATGGAGGGGATCCAAATCCATATTTATGAAACTCATAAAATGATATGATAAAAATCTTAACGTATATAACCGACTAGTTAATATTTACTTACAATAAATCACTTTCATTCACATGATCGATATACGTTCATTTACGCTATAGATGTATCTAAGACTATTAAATTTGCTAATTAGATATATTAGATTATACTTGAGCACACACTTTTGGTGAAGGCAACTTTTATGCAGGTTTCATGGCGAAGTTTGGGGTTAAACAAAAATAGTATGACTCTCAAGGCTTTTTAGATTTGGGATGCTTTCTTGGCCAAACACCGATAGCAACGTTTATTCAAATTCTTTAGTTAGTTTTTTTTTTTTTCCTCCTTATTTACAAATAACATAAAATAAAATAAAAATGAGGATTCCACACTTGGAATTAACTCACTATTTAATGCAAAATTAATTTTTTTTTAACATAACTTTATTCATTTTTTAGGTGTGTTTTTTGACTTGTCGGTTAAAACAAGTTTTTATAAATATTAACAATTTGTGTTAATGATATATGAGGGGGGAAAAGCTCAAAAATTCAAGATTTTTCATAAAAGTTTTAGTTAGAAATGCCTTCAGCAAATGGAAAAAAAAAAATCTGAATTTGATTATAATCGGGTTTTTTGTTCCAGCGAGCACTTTTCTGCCAAAAATTGCACCGATTTATTTTTTATTTTATTTTTGTAGACTACAGCTTAGTTCTTTTCACTTCTTTCAAGTAAGTGCCATCAGGGCACTTAGTTAAAAGTATATACACAAAAAATAAATATATAAGTTTGTGATATTAATAATTTAATATATTGTATTCGTGAATAAATCAGAAGTTTAAATATAATAATTTTCTTGAGAGATGGTACATTACTTTATTCATTTTTATTTTTGGCATAATTTAAAACAACAAGTAGATGTTATTTTTTAATTAATTAAGTGATTAACTTGATAAACCAGTTGTGTTGAGCCAAACAGTACAGAAAGCAACCCATATATTACCTTGTTTTCCAACTTCTTCTTTTATTTCTTTCTTTTTTCAGTTCCCTTTTGATGAGTTTGGATTTGGAAAAAAAGACACGCGTAAATAGATTTTGCTACTTTGCTTTGCAAGGATATTATTAGACTCAACATTCATGCTGAAATACCAACCTACCTTCCTTTTCAAGTTTCTTTTAAGTCCTGTCTTCCTACCTGTAAATTTAGGTAGCATCCTTTGTGGAGGAAAAAGTTGTCTCTATCTTATATTATACATAACACACAATGATATGATGGATGATGACCCTAGGGAAAGCAAGTCCAACAAGCACACAAACACAAATATGATGAATATTTTATCCACTTTAGAAAAGTTTACTTTGTTTCCTAATTAGTGCTATCGTTTCTCCATAAAATTGTGCTAGTAGTAGTGTGAGAATAGAGAGAATACTACCCAACTTTAGATCTTTCAAATCTATGACTGAGATAATATTCATATATCAACATAAACAGTATCTTGACAAGATCTAAGCGAAGATACGACAGATGAACAACTGTGCCTTTTAAAAAAACAAGTTGAAGTCAACTTCAGTATAAAGCTAACAGATAAATAATTACAAGCTAAAGTTAAAAGTTTGGTCCCAGCTCAACTTGGTGAAAACGGTGTGGCTCTATACCATCCAAAACAATAAGTATCCTTCATCTTCTACTGTTTACAGGCAAGGGTAAGTGGACGTAAGGGCTAAACATTTTTATATATTTAATTTGATCTCTAAAAAAAAAAAAAAGTAAATTGGTCTTTGTCCTTAGAAGTATAGTTTTGGACTCCATTGCTTAATATAGTTAGACTTAGGTTTGATATGAACTTGCTTTCCCAAAAATTGTTGTAACTAGATATATGAAAGAATTTAATATTTTTCATGTTGTAAAAAATAAATTTATCTCGTACAGACAAATAAAAATATATGAAGGTCATGTGATGAGAAAAAAAAAAAAAAAAAAAACACGAATCTCACACATTTTTATGTATATATAAGAAATAAATTTATCTCCGAGAAATATTAAACTTTACATGAAAATATTAAAATACATTAAAATGACAAGTGAAAACCGCACCAAATGAAATAAGCTACTTCTTATGCGCACCATGGCGCCAGAGTTGATACATAAGAAGTCACTATTTTTATGTGTTCTTAATAATAATACTAGTTTACGTGACTACCAAATGAAATAAGCTACTACTTATATGCCATAAAACTAGTTTTCTAATTACTCCATTTTAGATGGGGTTTAAGTAACATTCCCTTCCAGAAGGGAGGCAAGTGTCTATATATAATATAGTTTCATTCAAAAGCTAAGCAAAAAATGGAGACCAAAACTAAAAAAAAAAAAAAAAGCTATCAAACCAACATTCCTTCTCTTCAATGTAACCTATATTACAACCCTATTGTTGAAGGACAAGAGGGGACTCATATCACAAAAAGGGAGCAGCAGAAGGGTTTACAACAATGTGCCTAAGTGGGTGTGCAACATCCCCACCACCAGCATGCTTAACAAACTCTGCCGGAGAGAGGAAGTTTCCATGGCACACACACATTATCCTCACTTCCTCCCCTTTACCATATTTGTATAAGATTCCCTCAACTCTTCTTCCATTAGGACCATCCCCTTTAGTAAATACACAAGGCATGTCTTCCATTGAGTTTGTCCCAATTTCCCTCCCCATATTTTGGTGAGGATTGGGCTTCTTAGATGGATTCTCCACCTCAGCTCTTGAAGTTCTAGTCATATTCTCATTTGTCTTTGTAACTGATGAACCAACAGCATCTTGACTGCTTCGTTCCTGTATTGACTGATTACTAGCAGGGCTTCTTGCTTCACCACAACTGCTTGATCCTGTAATGTAGAGAGCAAAGTGTATCATAAAAATAGGACCATCTTCCTTTTCTTGCTTTTGGTGTCTGTTTTCATTTTATTTCTATCTTTTCAGCTAAGTAATAGAATTACATACAACCACAAATTCCATATTGGAAAGTACACATAATAAAGTTTCACCCCCAAAAAAATAATTACACATTAAATTCAAAGGTACACACAAGCTCCAACATCAGAAAGGAACAAATTCCACTTGCATAACTGATATTTCCAAATAAAAGTTCAGGCACAGAAACAAAGTGATATAGGAATCAAATGCATGTAAAATTATATTTGCTCTAAACAATAAAAAAAAAAAAAATCACTCTCCGTTAAACCCGACTAGCGAGTGTGGGATGGAGGTAATCCTTGTACGTAACCTTACCTTTGCATAATTGCAAAGAGGCTGTTAGAGAATTTTTACTTCCTTTTACTCCCTTATCCTTTTTCAATTTTTGTTGTGTTTTATCCACCAAAAAATAGTGATCTTCGAGAATCCTTAGAATACTGTGGCTGGCTTTAAACATCAACAAGTAAACCAAAGAAACTGTCAAAAAAGGTTCAAGTTCATTCTTTAATCATTCCCACACAAGAAAAAATTCTTTTTAAGTATTTCCGACACACAATTCCAACTAAAATTAAGTGATTCTAACACACACACACGGACCTTGAAGTAAGTACTTGATTTCACCCCAATAATGCTTCCAAGAAACTTCCTTGTGTAAAATACAACAACAATGTGCCTACACCTAAATGGAAATCAAGAAAACATATCTCGCAAAAGATGGGAGGGAAGAAAGTTCCGATATAAAAACCAGGCATTACATCTACATGTGTCACAAACCCCACAGCACTCAGTTGAATTGCAAAACTAGACTAGATCTGTAACTCACGTCAATTTCAGCGAATTCTACCTAGCAGCCACTCAGACACATCATGTAAACAGCTGAATTTCTTTGATAAAATCATAGATCCAAATTATATTTAGCATAAAGCTAACCCCGTGCTCCTTACTTAGCCAAAATGATGAATGAAGTAACTTACTGACAAAAGTGATAATGGTAAAATATTGAAAAGATCTGAGTGAGCCTCAGATCAAGAAGAACAGACCATAATGTTTTTGAAATGTGTGTTAGAGATATATAAAATCATTAATGTAGCCTCACCCAACAGCTTAAGCTTTTGGGTTGAATTGGTTTTTTACATGGTATTAAAGCCTCGGTGTCACGGGTTCGATCCTTACCGCCCCCACTTTCTCTTGTGGAATTTCTTAGCACAGGTAGGTGAGCCTGTGCATTGTCTACCCTTCAAGTCCAGTGGACTCTCGTATGTGGGGAAGGGTGAGAGATATATAAAACCATTAATGTAGTCTCACACAACAGCTTAAGCTTTTGGGTTGAATTGGTTCTTTACAACGTGTTTTTGCAAAATGAAGCTATTACCAGATGTTAAACCAAATTTTTTGTTTATAAGTAAATTAAGAAATACTTTTATTGCCAATATCACAAGGAGAATTCTCTCACCTTTGGTACTGAAACCAAGTGACCACGCATTATCTAGCACAATGATTGCCTACAATGCCTTCAGGCATAAGAGTGCAATGGTTCTGGTTTCTAATCAACCCCAGCCCAGTAAATGGCTCCCCCATCCCCATATTATCATTAGAAAGAATAAAAGAGGAAAAAATGCAAAGGAAACCGTTGCAAACAAGAATGTCAATTCACTTAGTGAGTATGCACAATGACAAACCATCTGGCAGAAAATAGTATGACACTAGAAACTGTCAGTAATGCTGAACAGCTAAAACAAGCAAGGTTCAAAGAGGCTAGAGCAAGAATAAGTAGTATCATTGTCAGTAAAATTGTTGTTTTCCTGACACGGGTATACAGAAATTTAAGAAAAAGAAAAGCTAGAACTAGAAGTTCCAAAAGACACATCACTTAGCTTTTCAGATTCCATAACATCATCCAATGTACATTTCAACTTTCAACAAATGAACTTTATGAGGAAATTTGACGTCTACCAGAGCCAGGCTGTATAATCCCAATCTCACATGCCAAGATATAGCTAGAATACAAAGAGTAACTGAATTACTCTATTTTCCCACCCAAATTTGAGTTTATCAGCACAGATAAAAGTCTTAAGAAGCAAACATCAGAAGGGTATAGTATACCAGACTTAATATAAATCTTTCAATACCATATTCTCATTGCTTCGGATGAGTGAAATAAAAGCATCTATGATTGGAAATTCAATTCACAATCTTGGTGTTTTCATGCTCTTGATCTTAAATGACCAGAGTCCAAAGTAGGTATAAAAATTAAGGAGCCAAGATTATCAATATAATTACTTATCAGTCCCTATCTAGCAACAAGTGACGATTGCCCAAGTCAGAACTACTAGACCAAGCTGTATAAATTGACTTCAAAGTCTGTAAAATCGGATCATTCACTTGAATGAGTCACCTATAAATCTTTAGTACACTAACAAGTTGGAGGAATGTCATGATATACTCAAATACAGTGGTAATGCAACATGCAAGTCAAATTAGTTCCGGTAAAATCCAGAGCTTTCTTAAGCAAAGCCAGCATCTTCTATTCCCCTTTTGGTGTCATAATTAATTCTGACGATATCAAATCGCAATTTAAATCATGAATTGCTGACCTAATTTTTGAATCATGAATCATTAGAACCATAAGATTTAAAGATAAAATGAAAAATAGCTTCAAATATTAATAACTTCAATCTAGGAATGAACAAAATAATTTAACCATAAATCCCGTGAAACAAAATTAGCTTTATTTGACTTTTCAATTTCTTTTATGGGAATTTAAGTACGTAAGGCCAAAAGGGAAAAAAACTAATGAATCATTGAATCGTGCAATTTGTATTAGTGATTCGGAAGCGCACCAATTCATGCATATATCAACAATTCAAATTCATCCCAGACTCGTAAGTGCGCAATTGCACCATCAATGCGCATAGCGGCTCCCTCTGCGATTTTCGTTACTCAACATGATGATTTGGAGTGGCAGTCACAATCATGGCCAACCACAGCGAAGTTGCTTCTTTGCCCCTGTGCAACTAGTGTCCTATGAGCACTTTGCGGGGTGAAATAGACTTTTGACCCTTTTTCTGATATGTTACCATTGCACACTATCAAACCCTATCTCCCTTCACTCCCTGCTCTCTCTCTACTTTTCCAACAATCACACCAATCGGCAAACCCGTCATAGTTCCTCAATTGCACTTCATTTTCTCATCTGTTTTGGAGTCATTTTGCGATTTTCCAATAAGACCACCTCCATTACAGCTAGCCGCCCTCCGCTTTCTAGTTTGGTTTGGCCTTTGCTCACTACTTTGTTCCTTGTTCTGGCAAGCCCAACACTATATGTGGACTTCGTTGTAGCGGCTATACTGCTACCCGATCTCCCGCTATAGCATTTTTGGGGTCATCCAAGATTTAATTTAATTAGGGATTCATCATATGATACCAATCACTGGCTTGCCAAATCATGTCCAATCGTGAGATTCAAATCGCGAATCGTAAGATTCTAACAACTATGATTAATTCTAATGTAAAGCTTCTAATGATGATATCCAACAATCAACGGACCATATAAAAGTGACTACCATGCACGAGAGATGAAAACGAAAACATCATAATCACATATAGTTTGAGATGAAAAGAACAATTTGTTTAATTTTTTTGTGGCTTTAAGATGAATATTTCAATATAAAGAGGGACCGACGTATAACACAATGAGAGACCAAATGGGAAAAAAAAAATTGCTCTAAGTTTATGATATTCCAAGTTCAGACATATAGTGATGACCAAAGTGAAAGGAAAAACAACTAAGAAAGAATAGTCTGCCAAATATAGCAACTTCAGTTAGCTAAAATCCATTACATGTAAAAAGATCACTCTTGAATCTTAGATGAAATTAAGTAGGTGTAAAAGATCATCTTGAATATTACTAAATATTTAGTCCCCCAACAAGTGACGAACCATAATTCATCACCTCCGTATTTTTTAAAATTCAACAGAGAAAGCGTGGGGAGGAATGGAAACAGAATCAAATCTTTTACGCTCTTTCCTTCATCACAGCTTTGTTAGCAAACAATTCACATAATTCAGATGAACTTTGAAACAAGTAAACCATACAGATAACCTGTTTGGAATAACTACAATGAATAAAAGAGACATAATATGGGAAATAGAAAACTGAACATGTCCTCATCAATCATCATGCAGTCAAAATAAAATCCACCACAATTACAACAGAACACCACCATCCAAAACCAAAAACGAAGCAAAACCTCAAACAACAATCAAAACACCAAACGTAAAAGGAAACTGATTAACAACCAAAAGATCAATATTACACGCAAGAATATAGTAAATCAAAAAAAAAAAAAAGAGAAAAAAAACTCAGAATAAACCAATTTAATTAATTACCTAGAAAAGGCTTGCTCTCCATTTCAGATACTGATGAAGAGCTTCCCCCTTGGGAATCCGCTGAGCCCTGAGAAGATGGCTGCGCAAACAATCCTTGAAAACCAACCCCAACCTTCCCTTTCGCCAGCACATCACTAAGAACAACTTGTCTTGCCCCCACAGCCCAACTTGGCAACGCAAAGGGTGGTGGCGCCACCGTTGAAGAACCAAACCTATTCAACCCCATTGTTGCACTTGCACCCTCCACTTCCTCCAAACCACCGCCGCCTCCGCCGCCGCTGCCTTCTCTATCCGTCTTGGAAACTCTCTGCTTCTCCGACCTCCGCCTCTTGGCCTCCATCCGCCGCAGCGTCTGCAACTCCTTCCGCTTCCGCCACTCCTCTTCCGTCTCCGTCGGCAGCGACGACGTCCTCATGAGGGTCGGGTTTGCCGGCGGCGGAGCCACGGCGTCGTCCTCCCGGAGGAAAGGCATTGTCCCCACGACGGAGGAGGAGCGCATGAGCTTCTTGTTCTTGGCGTGCTTGTCCACTCCAAATCTTCCACCCAAGGAGAGACCGAGGTTCAGCTCAACCTCCTCATCTTCGCGTTCTTCTTCTTCTTCTTCTTCTCGAAAACGTTGCTGTTGAGATTGCTGTGTCTGTGTTGTGTTATCATCACTGCCACCACTTGACACGATGAATCTCTGAAGCAAATCTCTCGGGTACTTCTCCATCCTCACAAACAGATTCTGATGATGATGATTATTATGCTGATGATGATGATGATGATTCTCCATCAATGTCTCATGCCAAACCCAACAACATAAAACATCACAAGCTAGCTACTGTTCCAACGCATGTATATACAGACGGACAAGCCTTTTTCTTGTGGTGATGAATGATGATGATGATGATGATGATGATCAGCAAAACCCATGAAACAAAACATGCTCCCTCATCCAGTAATGCCCAGAATAGCACACACCCAGATCACAAAAACGTTTCTTTTCTGGCGTAAAACAATTGAAATTGAGGGGGGGGAAATTAAAAATTAATGGAATTTCAATAAATTCTTATTCTGGTAAAACAGGAAGCAAACCCCCTAAAAAATAAAAAATAAAAAGTTCCAATTTTTATTCTTAAATTTTGTTTTACCCTTTTGCAACAGAGAAATCGAACCGGGAAGAAGAAACGAAAAAACAAAGACAACGATTGAAGAACTGAGAAAAACACACACAAAAGAAAGGAAAAAAAGTGTCCTTTTTTTTTTTTTTTTTTCAAGAGAGAGAATTCAGAAGAGAATAATATTTATGAGATGGCGAAAATGCCCCTGATATGTGACAATGAGAGTGTGGATGGAAGAGACAAGTGGCTATCATGGGAGAGCGCATTGACGACACGTGGCGATACTGACACGATTTTTCACTGCGAAATGTTTGTGCTTTTGCGATTGGGGTCGCTGTCAACAACTTGTCTCGAGGGGGGAACACGTGTCGCGAGGAGGAAGGTGGCTTGTCGAGTCGCCACGTGTCGGTCAAGATCCGGGGAAGTATAAGTGGACGCGTGGCGTTAACGTCAATAATGACTTCTAATTTGGTTTTGTCCTCGTATCGCTGCGGCATTGGTTGGGTTCTGCCTTGTGTCGTGTCGCATCGTGTTGGTCGTGACCTACGCTTCCCACTTTCTGCCATTCGTCAAGGTCACTGGCACCCATGTGCCCCAACATTTTTTATTCATTAGCTGTATCCCATCATTATTATTTTCAAAAAAACGATTTTGGATATTTTAAAAAATTATTATGTCTTACAACAAACAAGGACTTTTGTCGGTGTGATGTATAAAGCATAATAGTATAAGTTTATATTATATGTTATGACATTTTCAGTTGTTTGGTGTGATCACCGTATAGTATAAGCTTATACAGTATAATCCCTTAATACATCAAAATGATGTATAACTTAATCCAGTCTAAGGGTGAGGGATAAGACCTGATAAGAGATTGATGTATTAAGATCGTTGACTAATGTAATTCTCAAAAATTAATATATTATTTTAATATTAATCTATTAAAATAAAAATGTATTTTTCAATATATAAATTTTTAAAATATTGAATATTTTTATTTTTATAAAAATTAATTTATATTTTGGACACACTAATCAATAAATTTTTATAAAAATTAATATCATATGATATTTTTTGAAGAATTATATAAATTCTTTATTAAAGGATATTTTTATTAAAAATATTTATTTTAATCATATATAACATTATACAGCGCATTACCAAATACTAGATGATATTATCTTATACAATATATTATTTTATACAATACCGTGTCAAACGCTTGATAGTATTAAAATTCAATCAGGTCTTATACAATCAGGCCTTATACTATCAACTATCAGATCTTATACTATACTATGCACCAAACATGCCCTAAGATAAGGGGATTTCTCTTTTTAGTTTTTACGCATGGATAAATATTCGTATCTTTAATGCGTAATTTGTGTAAAGAGTTTTAGAAGAAGTCATGAGAATAAGAAATAAATAGATATAAATATACATATATTATGCGCTAATTATAATTTATATGTATTAGTGTGTGTCTATATTTATGAAAGGATAGCTTTGCTTTATTAGTAGTATAATATGATGCAAGTTGGACCTATGTGAATTTCCATCCATAATAAGATTTGTGATTGGGATTGATGCGGTGAGCAAACAGTTTCAATAAAAAAAAAAAAAAAAATGAATAGAATTCTTATTAGAATTTTTAAAATCAGCTTTTCTAAATTACGATTGTTTTGCGAAGGGGAATCATATAAAACATGTAAGGAATATTACAAAATTTCTCTACGTGGCACCACATAATTAGAGAGGAATTAAAATAGAAAGGGTGTTATAATCTGTATGTTTATGTAATGCATGTATTTGAAAATTTCTAAAGCGATATTTTTTAACCTCAAAAATTAAATTCAAATGCATCTTCGACAAAAAATAATGAGAAATAAAAAAAATGTGTTTTTGTGACTTTTAGGGGCGTTTGGTAGATGAGAAATTTTTTTTTATTCGGAAATCTCGATTTTCAGAAATATAATTTTTATATTCAGTTTATGATAATATCTAAAAATTTAAAATTTTAAAAAATTCAGTTTCCCGAGAATTCTAAAGAATACCGCGTACCAAACGAGCCCTTAGGTTGTTCGATACTCAAAAGAATTGTAAGATGCATGGAAAATTAAGTGAAATTCTTTTTTTTTGGAAATAATTTAAGTGAAATTCTACCTACTGAGATTCATACAAAATCAAAAGTATATTTGGGTTTTCCATTATTCACCATGTTTTTGGTGTGTTATGGACTAGATCCATATCCTAACAACCCTATTACTAGTAAGATTAGATAGGGATATCACAACCATATAATCTAAGGAGGATCAAGGGATAAGATCCCTATCCCCATCAATCAAGGCAGATTTCATATCAACTGGGAGATCTCAAAGGCCCAAGCCTATGAAGGTAATCCTTATAAATAAGAGGCTAAAGACCCAAGTACACACTTTTGACCTATTTACTATTACTGCCAACACTGTGCACACACTCACGTCTTGGCTATAAGCCTATTGCTTGTGCGCAGTGATTAGAGTATTGGCTACAAGCCAATCAACATATCAATATCTAAGATATCTCTGAGCGCATACCCTTGAGGTATCCTTATACGGTTCAATAGGACCGAGTATTGGCGTTGTCTGTCGGAATCGACAAATTTCGACTCTCATCCATGGTGAACATGTGCGGCATAGCACGAAGCCAGAGATTGCATGCTACCTCGCGCGCCTTGAAATTGCTGAAACCACATATATACGAGGAGACAAACCCTACAACAAAAAAGGCTTTTGATCCTCCGAGAGACTCGTGAATGGAGCTCTAGATCCAAGCAGATGACGATTTGACAAAGATTCTCGTCGTCGCAATTTTTGATGGAGCAAGTGAAGACCTGGAGGTCATTAAATCATAGGGAAAAGGTACATACGAATTTTGAATTCTTTATTAAAGGAAGTATCATTCCAAATTTTGTGGGCTAGAGAATTGGCTGACCATTAATAACCCAACTTCAATCCAAAAGAGGGCTTAAAATTTAAAAGCTCGGCCTCGGCCTTGAGCTTCAACTCATCCCAGTTAAAGGCTTCAAATTTATTAGCTCGGCCTCAGCCTTGAGCTCAGCCCAATGAAGGGCTTCAAGTTTAAAAGCTTGACATCAGCCTTGAGCTTCAACTCAGCCCAACTAAGGGCTTCAAATTTATTTTCTCGGCCTCGGCCTTGAGCTTAGCCCAACTAAGGGCTTTAAGTTTAATAGCTCAGCCTCAGCCTTGAGCTCTAACTCAGCCCAGTGAAGGGCTTCAAGATTAAAGCTCTATCTCAGCCTTGAGCTGCAACTCAGCCCACTGAAAGGCTTCATAATTATCAACTCAGCCCAGTGTAGGGCTTCAAGTTTAAAAGCTCGGCCTCAGCCTTGAGCTCCAACTCAGCCCAGTGAAGTGCTTCTAGATTAAAGCTCGACCTCTGCCATGAGCTTCAACTCAGTCCCGTGAAGGGCTTCATGATTATCAACTCAGCCCAGTGTAGGGCTTTAAGTTTAAAATCTCGGCCTCAGCCTTTAGCTCCAACTCAGCCCAGTGAAGGGCTTAAATTTTGAAAGATCAGCCTCGAGCTTCATCTCAGCCTGGCTAAGGGCTTAAAGTTTAAAAGTTCGGGCTCGACCTTGAGCATTATCTCAGCCCAACGAAGGGCTTAAAGTTTAAAAGTTCGATCTCGGCCTTGAGCATTGTCTCAGCCCAACAAAGGGCTTAAAGTTTAAAAGCTCGGCCTTAGCCTAGAGCATCAACTCAGCCCAACTATGGATTTTAAGTTTAATAGCTCAGTCTCAGCCTTGAGCTCCAAATCAGCCCAACCAAGGGCTTCAAGATTGAAGCTTGACCTCGGCCTTTAGCTTCAACTTAGCCTTAGCCATAGCTTCAGGCTCCGATATCAAAATGAAGGCAAAATTGGAGAGATGTGATTATAGCAAAAGGATCACACCCCAATCCGCGATAAAAATGAAGATGGAATTGGAGAGATGTGATCCTAGCAAAAAGATCACACCCCAATCTGAGAAGATGAATTTGGAGAAATTGTGATCCTAAAAAAGGATCACACCCCAATTTGAGATAAAAGAAAAATCGAGGCGGCATATGATGTCAGGCTCCTATTCAAGATTTTGGCAACAAAGCCAAATGACAAAGTTTGCGGCCCAACAGACCAAACTCAGATTAAAAATCCATCGCTAATGAAGCGTTGCTCAAAGTAAAAAGCCACGGTATGCGAAGCTGAGCTCAAACAAAATATGACAAAAAGTATAGTCCAATAGTAAAGCCACGGTACGTTAAGCCGAGCTAAAATCAGAAAGACAAAGATACCGCCTTCAAAAGTGTAGACAAGGAAAAAGCCAAGTCAATTTAAAGAAAGCTACGGTATGTGAAGCTGGGCTCAAAATGAAGAAGGCAGTAGTAGCTTAAGACTACAACAGCAAAGCCAAGTCGCGAAGGAAACGGGGCTCAAAATAAAAGTCACGGTATACGTATTCGGGCTTAGAATCGAGGAGGAGAACTCTTCCTTCAAGAATCCAAGACTATGGCAAAAGAAGGCAAATCCGTCAAAACAAGATAAGTCAAGGTATTCGAAGCTGGACTAATCGTTCAATAAGGCATGAAAGAACTTCCCAAAATTAAGATATAGGCAGCAAGTCAAATCCAAAAGAGGAAAGTTGCAGTAAGAAAATTCATGCTCCTAAAGTACAATACAGCTTTGCAAAAGGTCAAATTTATGCTAATAGAGTCTCGGTATGCGAAACCGAGCCAAATCTGGAACCACGACACTTAAAGTCAGGGAGTGCAAAGTCGGGTTAATTATTAAGGAGGCACGAAACGCCGTCCTAAAACTTAGGCGAACGACTATATAAAAGACTGACAATAAGCCTAGTCAAAACTAAAGAGCCTCGGCAAAAGAAGCTGAGCTCAGAGTCAAAAGGAGGCAAACACCACCTCACCACTCAGAGACTTAAAGAGAAAAGAAGCCAATATAAAAAGTTAAACCAAGAAGAGGTAGTCGCACCATACCCAAGGCAGGATCATAGTACCTCGGTAGGGTTGACC